TCTATTTCTGGGAAACTCTCAAGCCTTTCGCAATTACTAAGATCAAGTTCTTCAAAAGATTTCAATCCAAGTGTTGCAAACCTTGTAAGATTGAAGCATCCACGAAGTTCTAATACTTGAAGCCCAGTAAGAGATGTAATTGATGCAGGCAATTCTCTTATACCACTTCCTGATATGATCAAAGTATATAGTGATTCCATCTTCTCCTCTATTTCTGGGAAACTCTCAAGCCTTTTGCAATCACTAAGATTAAGTGCTAAAAGAGATTTCAATCTCAGTCTTGTTGCAAACCTCGTAAGCTTAACGCATCTACTAAGATTCAATACAACAAGTTTATCAAGGAGTCCAATAGAACCATCGACCTCAACCAAACGTGTGCACTCTCGTAGATTCAAGTACTCTATGTTTGGGATTCCGGATAGGTCTGGGATTTTTTCTAAGAATTGACAACCCCTCAAATCCATAGATGTCAGGTTTGGCAAATGCTGTGAGAGAAGAACACAAAAATAGGAAATAATTAATCACACGCTTCAAAAGACAAAAACTTAGAAAACAATTTTTCGTTTTTTTCCTTCTGAAATTAACAACTGTATTTCAAATTATATATAATGGATGAAAATAATTTCAAATGCATACCTTAAATCCATCCAATTGTCTGATATGACTGCGAGGGATATTGAACTCAACAAGACGTTTTCCTTGAAAATTGGGTGGCAAAGATTGTAACTGACATCTATCCCAATCAATCAATCTTAACGTGTTGGGCAAATCATTAATGTCCCCACATAGAGATGCATTATGGTTTATGAAAATTTGAAGATTCACCATATTATGGAAGCATTTTGGATTCAAGGTTATCTCTGCTGGTTTTGGAAGCTTCACAATGATGCCTTTAATATTTCTTGTTCCCTAAGATAGAAAAGCATTAAGATTAAAAAATGGAGTCATTTTACAAACCAAAATGCAAGCACATTTTGTTAAGAAAATTGAGGTAACATAAGGTATTCTTTCATGTCAAATTGAATATTATAACACATGTGATACTTACAGTAGTTCCCATTAGAACTTGTATGACATCCTCATAAAACCACAATCTACTACGCTGGCCAGGATCATAGGGGGATTCTTTGTGAACTATATCCTTGCCCAGGTTTGCTAGCAAGTCGTGCATTAAAATCTTGTTACATTCAATAGTTATCAATGCCTTATCAACAAATTCTTCAATGTATTTTTGGGGTACTATTTGTTGCACATAGTTCTTATATTCACCCTTGAAGAAACATGCAATGTCGAGAAAATATGCTTTTGCGGGATCTTCCAAGGCATCATAACTTTTTTGAAGTATTCTTTCAATATGTGTATAAGGTTCTCCTTCGTAACTATCTAATATAACTTGCCAACGTGGTATATCTATACCACAAAGATGAGAACCTAAAATTGTTAGAGCTAGTGGAAGGCCATCAGCAAAAGCTATTGCACATCGTGCGAGTCCCAAATAATCTTGTCGAGGTTCACTTCTTCGGAATGCATGCCAACTGAAGAGCTCAAGAGCTTGGTTGTAGTCTAACTTCTTCACCTCGCATATCAACTCAATTTCACGATTGTTTAGCAATCTCCTATTTTTTGTAGTAATGATTACTCTACTACCCTCACCAAACCAATCATCTCCAGCCAATTTTTCTAACTGCTCCAATTGGTCCACATCGTCAAGAATTAATAGAATCTTTTTATGCCTCAATAGTTTATGGATAATAGAGATACCTTTATCAGCACTAGCAATTTCCAACTTTTTACCACCAAGAATCTCTTGAAGAAGAGTCTTCTGTAGTTGGACTAAGCTTCCTTCTCTAACATTTTCCAAGAAACAACTACCTCCAAACTTATGAGAAACTGCATTAAAAATAGCTTTTGCAATTGTTGTCTTGCCTATTCCAGATGTCCCCCATATTCCAACCATGCGACGACCATTCCCACCAACATCCAAAAGCATTTCCACATCTTGTACATGAGACTGAATTCCAACTGGGTACTTGGCCACATACAAATATGTGGGAGGTAATTTGCTGAAGATTCCATCAACGATGTTGTTGATAAATGTAGCTTCATACCTGCTTGTTTAACCAAATTAGACACATGCAATGATTCAGATTTAAACATCCAACCACGCAGAGGTAGCTTCATACTGAAGTACGTATCATTTATGCTTGTATCCCTTTTGAAGAGATTAATATAAAAGTACCCAAGAAAATAAATTTTCTTACAGCTATCGAAAATACAAAAGGACCCAAGAAAATAAATCTTCTCCCTACAATTGTATATTTTTACAAAAGAATACTTTTCTTTAATGAGTAACAATTAAATGTAACCAAAGTAAAAAAGAAAAGGAAATTAACTTAACTTGAAAAAGATAGATAACCTTGAAATATAGAATCAAGACACAAAATTAAACATAATGCCCTACCGCTATCAAAAATATAAAAATACAAAAAAAATTAAAATAAAGTTATTCTCCCTACAATTTAATATTTTTACAAAAGGATACTTTTCTTTAATAATGAGTAACAATTAAATGTGTAACTAGAGAAAGAAGAGAGAAAAAAAAAAAACTTGAAAATGATTAAGATAGAAACATACGCTCCCTCCTCGAAATGCCATCCAGACAAATTTGCTGCTTCCGTAAGAGCTTTCCTCCATCCTTGAATTTGCTTGTCATCCTTGAATTCGCTTCGAATAAGGCCTTTAAATGCATCTCCAAAACTATTTGTTTGCTTTCGTACATCCGACGGATCCACCTTGTAAAAAATGGGCAAAACTACTTGTTGCTTTGATTGTTTACATTGCAGGATCTTGACAAGTTCATCCAAGCACCACCTCGAAGATGCATACTTTTCCGAGAATACAATGACAGAAATTCTTGATTCTTCAATTGCTTTGACAAGGGCTGGCGATATTTCTTCTCCTCTCCGAAGCTCATCATCATCAATGAAGGTGTGGATCCCTTTACCAACCAGAGCATTGCGCAAATGATCTGTAAAATTGGTGCGTGTATCCGCTCCTCTAAAACTCAGAAAGACATCATATGGAGAAGAAGAAGGAGAAGAAGAGTCTGGTTGAGTTGTCATAGGGGGCAGATTTGAAGGAAGTTGAGGTTCCACCCCAAAATCAGTTGGCAATGGGGGAGTAACCCAACTCCCCATAAACCTGAATAAGGATTTGAAGAACATTGAAGAATTGAAGAAGAAGCAGAGAGAATCTAATCTGATTTTGTATTGATTTTCTTTCTTAATAAAACGATACAGTAAGAACTAATTAAGCTTATATACATGACAAATAGCTTAAGGCTTCAACAAACTCAACAAACTCACGTGCTCTCCATCAAGATCAACTAAAGAGAAGCTCAAAGAATTGGGTATGGCAGTGGCGCTCTGGTTAGTTAGATTTATGAGGGCTTGACGAAGCAGTTTCCTACCACCTTTCATGTGGGGGAGCTTTCGTTTCAACTTCAAGTCATCAAACGCTAGATTTTGTTTTTCATACTGACGCGGTCTTTAATTTGGTGCAGCATCTATAGGTGAAAGGCACTACCTTTCTTTACCTTTTCTTTGCTGAATAAATTGCTTTAAGATAGTGCACATCACATGGCCAGTATAGATAAATAGCAGATATGGGCCGACATTGCTTTCAGATAGTGCACATGGTCAAACGGTGATATTATTATTTCTTTATCTTTTTTCTTTGATGCGCTTTCTTTCAAATGATGGTCTTTCTATCCAAAGATTTTGTTTTCAGGTCTGAAAATAAAAAATTGAAAGAATACTGAAACAAGTTTTATGGTTTGTTTTTTCTTAAACTGGTCTAATATCATCGTCTACTGCCATCGCATCAGGTAACAACAACTGCGTTGGCCCATGATCAACAACATCAGTCTCACTGATATCAGCAACCTGGTGGCCTAATAGGTGGACCCCGCAGGGAATTTTAACATGTGTGGGCACGTTGCCAGACAAGTGAAATATAACATGACCTTCCAATAATCCCTCATGGCTCTCAAGCATTCCAATATCTATCGCATTGACGAGTTTTCCATTGAGAAGAATCCTGGCAGGAGCCATACTAACAACACATAGAACCAATCTTAACATCTCCCATTTTAAATTTGGAGGAATTTCAAAACTAACTTCACATTCAGGAATACCCCAACCCAAAAATTGTCTAACTATTGTTGCATCTTTACAACAGCTGAACCACGTTGGAACTTCATCGCCTGGGAGACTAATGTCAAAACTAGAATGCGGAGAAGAAACAGAAACGTGATTCAGAAAAATATTTTCTGTGATGTCGTAGCCGCGTAGTCTAACGCAATTGGTCAAACTCGCAGACCAACTGTCATCCACCGGTGGGAATTCTGGAATTTTCTCCAATGATGTGCAGTTATCCAGTAATACCAAAGTTACTCTTGGTGGAAGCACTTGTTCTGGAATTTCCAGAAGATTCTTGCAATCACTCAAGTAAAGCCACCGCAAGTCGACAAATGTGCTAAAGCATCTCGGAAGACTGACAAAATTGATTCCCGATAGATCAAGTTCTCTTAATGTGGAGTTGCTGGATGAAACTTGAGAGTTCACTGTAAGGTTCTTACAATAGTCAGCGCTAAAGTGATAAAGCCTAGTAAGATATGCAATTGATGAAGGTAATTCTCTTACGCCACTTCTTGATATGTCCAAAGTCTCTAGAGATTCCATCTTGACTTCTATTTCTGGGAAACTCTCAAGTCTTGTGCAATCCCTAAGATCAAGTGCTTCAAGAGATTTCAATCTAAGTCTTGTTGCAAACCTTGTAAGATTGAAGCATCCACCAAGATCCAATTCAACAAGTTTATCAAGGAGTCCAACAGAATCATCAACCTCAACCAAACTTGTACAGTCACTAAGATTCAAGTCCCTTATGTTTGGGATTCCGGATAAGTCAGGAATCTTTTTTAAGAATTGACAACCACTTAAATTCATTGATGTCAGGTCTAACATAGTTTGTGACACAAAAACATAAAATAGGAAATTATCAAATCACACCCTTATGAAAACAACTTGAGACTTTTTTTTTCCCTGAAAATAAGAACTCTATTTGAAATAATAATAAATAAGTAATTAATTTAAATTGTTACCTTCAATTTCTCCAATCGTCTGATACTACAGCCAGGCATATTGAACACAGCAAGACGCAGTGGATGAAACTCGGATGGCAAAGATTGTAACTGACAACTAGGCCAATCAATAAATCTTAACGCGTTGGGCAGATAGTTAATGTCCATATTACGGAAGCATAGAGATGCATTATGGTTTATGAAAATTTGAAGATTCACCATATTACGGAAGCATTTTGGATTCAAAGTTATCTTAGCTGGTTTTGGAAGCTTCACCATAATGCCTATAATCTTTCTTGTTCCCTAAGATGGAAAAGCATTAATTAGGAAACAAACTCATTGCGCAAACCAAAATGCCTATAATCTTTCTTGTTCCCTAAGATGGAAAAGCATTAATTAGGAAACAAACTCATTGCGCAAACCAAAATGCAAGCACATTTTGATTTTGTTAAGAAAATTGTATAGGTTACATAAGGTATTCTTTCTTGTCAAATTGAATATAATAACATATGTGATACTTACTGAACTTTCCGTTAGAACTTGTTCAACATATCCTTGTAAAACCACAATCTACTACGCTTGCCGGGATCATTGGAGGATTCTTCGTGAACTATATCCTTGCCTAGTTTTTCTAGTAAGTCATGCATTTGAATCCTACCATAGTCAATATTTATCATTGCCTTCTCAATGAGTACTTCAATACAATCTCGGGAGACCATGTTCTTAGAATTGCTTACTATTTGTAGAACATAGTCCTTCTTTTCACCTTTGAAGAAACATGCGATGTCTAGAAAAACTTGTTGCATGAAATTTTCAAAGGCATCATAACTTATTTGAAGTGTTTTTCAAATACCTGTATATGGTTCTCCTTCATAACTATCTAATATATTTTGCCAACAATCTTTGTCTTCATAACGAAGATGAGAACCTAAAAGTGTTAGAGCTAGTGGAATGCCTTGAGCATACTCTACTGCACGTTGTGCGAGTCCCAAATAATCCTTTGGAGGTTTATTGGTTTCGAAGGCATTCAAACTGAAAAGCTCACGAGCTCGGTTGCCATATAACTTTGGACCTCGTATATCGAATTAACTCCATGACGTTTTAGCAATCCTCTATCTTGTGTAGTTATGATGATTCTACTACCCTCACCAAACCAACCAACACCAGCCAAATTGTCTAATTGCTTCAATTGATTCACATCATCAAGAATTAAGAGAATTTTTTTATGGCTCAACTGTTCTTTTATGACACCAATTCCTTCATCAACACTACGAATTTTCCATTCTCCGCCAAGAATTTTATGGAGAAGAGCCTCCCCTGTAGCTTGATTAAGTCTCCATCTGACATTGAATTTTCTCTAACATTTGACAAGAAACAACTTCCTTCAAATTTATGTGCAATTGCATTCCATATAGCTTTTGCAATTGTTGTCTTGCCTATTCGAGATGTCCCCCATATCCCAACCATGTGACGACCATTCCCACCAACATCTAAAAGCTTTTTCACATCTTGTACATGAGAGTGAATTCCAACTGGGTGCTTGGCCACATTCCAATATGTGCGTCTCAGTAGTTGGCTTAAGATTCTATCAACAATGTTGTTGATAAATGTAGCTTCATAACTGCCAATTTAACCAAATTAGACACATTTAATGAATCAGATTTAAACATCCTGAAGTCCGTAATAGTTCTTCTGACCAAAAAAGAAAAAAAAGATGCAATAGTTGTTTAATCACAAACCTAATGTATGCCTTTTGAACAGATTAATATATATGGATTTTGAACTTTCTCCTTACAGCTATCGAAAATACAAAAGTACCCAAGAAAATAAATCTTCTCACTACAGTTGTATATTTTTATAAAAGAATACTTTTCTTTAATAAAACCAAAGTAAAAAATTTAAATTTTATAAAAAAAAAAAAAAAGGGAAACTAAGTTAACTTAAAAAAGATAGATAACCTGAAATATGGAATCAAGACGTCGAAAATATATTTTAATAAGCATACAAATACACTAGTAATATATCATTTAAAAAAATATGGAAAATGCTAGGCTTACCACATTTTCCATACCACAATTGTACCACCTCTCTAATAGAGGTGAGCCCCATTGTATTAGTGGACTCCACCTCTATTAGAGAGGTGGTACAATTGTGGTATGAAAAATGTGGTAAGTCTAGCATTACCCAAAAAATATAGCTCAACTTCCTGCTATTCGGTTTCACGTTTTTTTGTCAAGACGAAATTATCATATAATACTTAGCAAGCAACACAAGATCCTACAAAGCAATCTAAAGCAAACATTAAAAAGTAGTTATCATCGGTTTTCAAAGTCGATATGCAAAATGATTTCTTAAAGAGAAATTATTTGTTAGCTAACTGAGTTGACTATGGCTTACCTTGTTCTACTTCAAATGATGAAGTTTTATGATGGCTCGTTTGGGAGTGATTCTGGATAGGTCAATAATCACTTTTATGAAAAAGTATATGGGAAGTGTTTCTCTCCAAAATTACTTAAAATTACTAAAAATGATTATATAAAGAATCACGTAGAAGGTGTACCCAACAAGTGACAGAATAACTCCCAAACGAATTTGGTAGATTTTCGTCATCATTGGCATAAGAGTTGGATTAACAAAATCATATAACACAGTGCAAACATATCCTCGCTAGATCAAGTTCCAATGATCAATTGCAATTGTGTCTATAATTTTAGCCGGAAAAATTAAAAGGAAATTCCAATGCAAAAGTACTCGTAATTTTATATTTATTCAATTTCCAATATTATGAGTTACATAATTACATTACTCTATTAGATAAATTTAAGTAATATTTCTGGAAATGTTACTTTAGCTAATCATGTGGTGACTCATACAATACTTTAACTATTTCGAATATTCTGCGGTTGCTTATTTCCAATCTTGTACCCACCCACGTGTGGCAGCACAGGAGACTTGATGTCTTTTTACTTTTTCTAAATTTTTTAAATTATATATTGTTAGTGTATTTTATATGCTTATTAAAATTACAAATTTATAAATAAACTCAATCTTAGACATGTATTTATAAAAAATAAGTATAAAAAAAAACAAAAAACAAAAACCAAAAAAGGGATACTTTTCTTTAATAATGTGTAACCAGAGAACGAAGAGAGAAAAAAAAATTAAACTTGAAAAAGATAAAGATAGAAATATACTCTCCATCCTTGAAAGTATGTCCGGACAAATTTGCTGCTTTTCTAAGAGCTTTCCTCCATATGACCACCTTCTCCTCGTTATCTTTGAATTTGCTTTGAATAAGGCCTTTAAATGCATCTCCAAAACTATTTGTTTGCTTTCGTACATCCGACGGATCCACCTTGTAAAAAATGGGCAAAACTATTTGTTGCTTTGATTCTTTACATTGAAGGATCTTGACAAGTTCATCCAAGCACCACCTCGAAGATGCATAGTTTTCAGAGAATACAATGAGAGAAATTCTTGATTCTTCAATTGCTTTGACAAGGGCTGGCGATATTTCTTCTCCTCTTACAAGCTCTCCATCAATGAAGGTCCGGATTCCCTTACGGACTAAAGCCTCGTGCAAATGATCTGTAAAATTGGTGCGTGTATTCTAGCCTCTAAAACTTAGAAAGACATCATATGGAGAAGAAGAAGAAGGAGAAGAAGAGACTGGTTGAGTGGTCATAAATAGGAGGGCAGATAATTAAAAGAAAAGAGAAGCTCAAAGAATTGGGTATGGCCGTGGCGCTATGGTTAGATTTATGAGGGCTTGACGAAGCAGTTTCCTACCACCTTCCGTGTGGGGGAGCTTTCCATGTGGGGGAGCTTTCGTTTCAACTTCAAGTCATCAAACGCTGAATTTTCTTTTCTTAATGACACGGTCTTTCATTACTGAAGCATATATGGTTGCAACCATAATATTAAATATATCCACCTAAGCTTGACGAAGCAGTTTCCTACCACCTTCTCACTAACACTCATTGAGCTTTTTGGCCATTTCACAAAACTCCTTGGAGTTTTAGAAATTACACAAACACTCCTCAAAATTTTAAATTGTTTTCATAAAACTCCTTTTTATTAATTTTTGGGTTAATTTCAATGAACTCTCACCCTCAAAGCATGTTTATCCTTGCACTCTCATTTTTAACAATCATGTACCCTAATCTTTTTTATTTTTTGCAATATGTTTTTGACCGTCAAAATTTCCCTTAATTGTCTACGTGGCATGGGTATTTTCGATCAATTGGTGTCTTCTGCAAGTACTTTTGTGAAAAAAATACTATGACACATTTTTTTCCGGAAGGCACTAATTCTGCAAGTGCTTTTGTCAAAATTAACCTTTAATCTGCATTACTAAAATTGAGCCATTGTGGTTTTGTAAGTGGCACAAAAATTCAAAGAAGACCCCAAGGCAGACAAGTCTCTTCCAAGTGCATGTCCTAGGGTGGGCTGTGTGGGTTTGGATTTGGAATGTTTAAAAAAAAAAAAATTCCGGAATTTAATCCCACCTTTTACTATTATTTGCAATTGGTATAAACTGCTATATAAAAAATAATAATTACAAAGTTACTTTCATGTCATGTGGGTTCTGACCCATGAGAGGGTGCATGTGCTTTATTTGGACCTTCATATGTGTTTTCTGAGTTGTTTATCTAAACAACAGAAGGAACCATATTATCTCAGCAACATTAACACGGTCTTTTTCATCTTCATTTTCAAACCCCAAGTGGGAACTCACTTTTCCTAGGCTGCTTCCACCTTCAAGGGTACGAACCTTCCCTTGTCATAGACTAGTTGGGACTCTTTTCTTTTGTTTACCAGCCCTCACCATATATGTTAATATTATCAAGATTTGTGAGTTTAAAATTTTCTATATAGATGTTGTAATCTTAATGAGGTCTTCTATATATGTCTCCCTATCCCTTTTTCCCATTGACTTGAATGGTATTTTTTTTTATACGTCAACGCAGTTTCTGTCTTATGCTACATACCTACACTACAGTGTGAATGTGTTGAAGTAAATGGTAAGGAACCTTCAAGGAAACTTCTCTTGGACGGTGATACCTTCTTTTACCTACAAAATAGGCCAAATACAAACTAGACTGCACCTTTGCCGCACCATATGTTTGTCTAAAGCATGTTCACACGGTAGATCACCCTGTGAAGTATGTGATATAAACTAATTATAAAATGTTAAAATAGATTTGATCACAGCTTGGAGTAATTTCATACAATCAAAACCAAAAGGGCCATAAGTACCAATACCATACCAAATCAAGTAGAAATTTTAGTGCCTTCGCTACAATATAAAATTGCTAGAAGAAGAAACACATTCAAAGCAAAGGCATATCAATGTCTTTAAGCAGTGGCTAATTACTGTGTAACATGATTTAACATGTTAGAAATTGAACAGCCACAAAAATAAAAAGAAGAGGCACACTCCTAGTCTTGAAATGAAAGTCTTCTAAGTGCAAGTGAAAGCCATAATGGTAAAGGGTAAGGAAAAGAACCTTCAACGTTGTCTTTGATGGTGATACTTCCTTTCTGACGCGCAACAGCTTTCTTTCATCGGTTCATGATGATGCTTTTTTCTTTTTGACTAACATCTCTTCACAATTGTTTAGCCTTCGTTGACTGGATTCACCTCATCAAGACAAATTTCATTTGCACCTTCAAGCGTAAGGAGTCCGTAACTTCTTGTCTTTGATGGTGACACACTTTTTGCTATATGATAAATAGGTACCTTATGAAAAAGTAGATACACAAAAAAAATATATATATATATATATATATGGAGGTTTCTTCATCCCATGATGGGCCGGCCCGACACGAAAACGTTAAAAGCATGAGTTTAAATGGGATGGGCCGGTACGGCACGGCCCGTTTTACACCTCTAGACTCCCATCAAGCAGAGTTCCAACGTAGTGCATTAAATTCAAATTTCCACACTCTAATGTATCTAAAATTATAAAGTTTTAATAGGAGAGAAAAAGATAGAGAAAAAAGAAAGAAATGGTATTTTGGCCTTTTTTTTATAATTTAATATGGGTATTTTCAGCATTTTAAAAGTTTCATTAAAGGGAACCAAGTGCTTCTCGTGTTTTTGTCCTGTAGCGCTTTTAAGAAGCACCTCTCAGGTGCTTCTTCCAAAACCACTCCAAGTGCTTTTGGATCTCATCCAAAGCGCTTTTGCAATTTTTGCTAAACATCATTTTTAAAAGACAAAAGCTCTTTCACCCAGTTTTCGCTGCTCCAAAAGCACTCCCAAACGAGCCCTAATTCTCTCAATTCCTCCACTTTCCTTCCTTTTGCAAGTATTCAACAAGAAATAACATTAAAATGAAAACTAGTTTTTTATACATAAGTAATAAAAACTAGTTTTTTTTATACGGAAGTAATAAAAACTAGTTGGTGTACATTTTATATGTGTTGAAAGCTTTAAATTTAGCCAGTTCAGTGTAACTCAGTTGGTTCAGCTCTTTCACTTTCACCCATGCAGGCAGAAATTTGAATTATAATTATATATTATTGTATTAAACAAACACAAATTCATAATAAATCGGACAACTTGTGTTATTGAGGTAATAAATTTATCAATTAGCTCCCCAAGTCACTAGAAAGAGGTGAAAGACCCACCACTTCTATATTCATGGCCTATATCAAATTGCAACAAATATAGTCAATAAACTTCGTATTTTTGTCCTCCTACATAAAATTGCTCACCTGGGGTTAATAACTTATTATCACTCATGCTCATATAAGAAAGAAATAATATATTAAAAAAACTAGAGAAACTAGTTTTAGTTCCATTTCACGACAAAGCTCTCTCTTTTCTCTCTCGAGCACTTTCTCCTTTCCCCTTTTACCCATCCCACCTACAGAGCAATCAATCTTTACAAACGCTAAAAAAGATAAGAACTATTTTCTCTCTCTTTTTTTGGGGAAAAAAAAAATAATGGATAAAGCATAAAACTCATATGAATAATTGAAATTGTGATTTCATTTCTTTTGTGGAAAAAAGTACTTAGCATCTCAGGTAGGTGTGAAAGTTGGATTGGAAATTCTAATTTCGACTCATTTTTATTCGAAATTTTTAACTTTTAGTGAGTTCAAATCAATTCCAACATCCCAAAGTAAAGAAAATTCTAGAATTTTTTTTTTTTGGAAAAAAAAAAGGATTAGAATTAGAATGTATCTCAAGATTACAAAAATTCTGAATTATATCAGAGTTTCAAGGTTAGACTACACATAATGAGTAATATCTATGGCCACCAGATGCACTTTGCATAAGCGAAAATAATGAAACTAATGTTATAGCCACAATATCAGAATATAATTATGTTAAATTTTAAACATGGAAACTTTAAACAGAAAACTTGATCAATCATGAGGATACCATGGCATCTAATTTCTTTGTTATGAAGAAACATGTGATTTCTTTTTATTCTAAAACATGCAGACTATGATCTGACACCACATGTAAACTGTATTGACTGCACATAACATAAGTAGAACACATGTATTTTAGTATTCCATTAGAGTTGTCAGAATATCAAGAACATACAAGATCTCTTCTCCTCAATCCGACCCCTCACACACTCATTATAGATGGGGTGAATACTTTAGTGCAGGTTACATTGATCGGGTAAGTCGTGGCACCTGTATTTATATGCATCTGTCTAAGACTCTTGCCCATCAAGAAACTCTCTAGGAAAAGAAAACCTTTGTCCATATTAAGATAGAGTCAACATAAATAAATAAATAAAAATGGCGAATTTTCAGATATATATTCTTCTCCAATATGGAGATATTTATAAGAAGGGTACAAAGATTAGTTAACCCTAAATACAATAGGAAATAATATATCAATTACAATAGTACTAAATAAATAGATAAGTAATAACCAAAAAACCTAACATAGTAAGGAACCAAAATCGTAAGTAAATAAGAACTTGCTAATACTCCCCCTCAAGTCGGCACAAAGAAGTTTCGCATGCCCAACTTGACTAGCGGGTCATAGAACACCATACTTGACATTAACCAGATCGAACCACTATAGAAAAGGCCAAAACTTTGATTTGTTCCAAGAAATACAATGTTTGTAGTAATAAAAGAGGCCCAATAAAAGGACTTTTCGAGCCAAATGGGCTTTGATTCGTTCATAATTAGAAAAGTAAGTGCCCAAAGATCGAAGCCCAAGCACGGCTTTCTCCAAAAGCTTTGACTTTCCCAGAAAACGGTTGCGAAGCAACTTTTACTTGGTTAGAAGCGCTATGACAGGACCCGCCCCGGAATTTCCCCCGAAACCGGGG